CTGAAGCCCTTGGAAGAGGACCATGAGGTCCTTGGATAGCACTTGCCTCTAGCCCTCCTTGAGCGTGTCTTTTGTACAGTGGGAGTGCGTGTTCAGAACAGTGATGAGAAATGGGGATTTGCAACCTTTCTGTGCCCCTGGAGAGAGTACCCTAAACTTCTGTCTGTAAAGCTTGAGAAAGTGCCACATCCTCTGCAGTTCACAAAGCTCTCTTGTGAATGTAGCCTTTTCATAGTAGAAGTGGAGGAAATCTCTAAAGAAGTGGCTGCTGTTAGCATGTGGGTGTTTTTAGCTACTTGGAGTGAAGGTGTTCATGTGTGTTACAGCAGAAAAAAATCATTTAGCTAGAAAAAATTGGGGGGGAATGTTAAACACTAGGCATTATCTCTGTATCTATGTATTTACATATGTCCAATAAATAACATTTTTTCTTAGTAATTTTTTTCATATTCTGAAATTAATCCTTTGAACAGAGATTTGAAAGCTGTATACAGAATCTTCCTTAAATAAAAAAAAATATATAGAATATAGGTCTTTATAAGAGGAGGGAGAAGAAACAGGAAAGAACAGGCAACCAAACCCATGCCTCAGGATACCAACCCTAAGGTGTGGTGATGTCTGTCTTGGCCTGCTCACTTTTGTAGGAGATACTAAGGTCTGAGATCTGTCAGTACTTTATACAGCATTGCAATGGAGCAAGAGCTAGTACAGTGCTGTAAATACCAGATTCTGCCTTGCATTGTTGCTCAGAGCTCTGCTTCAGACAGATGTACAATGTGTTGTTCTTCCTTGTGTTCAAGAGAAGGTGGGGAAAGGCAGAGGCAGGATAAAGGATTTCTCTTAATCTCATTTTCTGGCAGAGGCAGTTCCCAGACGTGCCTTGGCAGTGTCTGGATTTAGTAGCAGTGTTCCTGGCCGCTGGCCCAGTCACATGGCGCCGCTGGAACAAGTGACACTGGAATGATGCATTAGCCGAGAGCCAGCGCTGCGTGCCGGAGGTTGCGGGGTGGGGTGGCCGGCCCGGCCACGCAGCACCCACACCGGACCAGCGCCGCTTGCTCCCGGATGGCCGCTGCTGTTTGGCTCCAGTGAAAGCTGGAAGCTGGTTATTGCAGGTGCCTTGAAAAAATAAACAAGGAAAGGAGCAGAGTCAAATCCTAGAGAGTGTTAAATTGCAAGCAAATTTTCAGTTCTTTGAAATGATAAAGATCATCACTCTGAGATGGCGTCTGCAAAATGCTTGACTTAACTTCGGGTCAGCTGAGCTGTCCTGACTTGGAAGCTGTGGAGATGACTGCAGAAAGTGGGATGGAAAGGGGAAAGTTGTTTAAAACTAAGCACGGCTTTCTGTATGGAGGAAAGAAGAAGGTGATAGACCTAGCGTGCTAACCTTACTGCAGACTTTACCTTTCTTTGTTGAAAGACCTAGTTTAACAAAAACCACACTTTTCTTGATGGTAAAACACAATTAAATGCATGCCTTTTTACATGCAATTACAAGCCTTTAGCTCTTCTCTTTACTAATGAGGAATTCCACTTCTGGAGCTAGCAACTGAGAGCGCTGTCTCTGTGCTATTTGTGGTCCTGCTTCAAACAATGTACTTACTGGGTGTTTTCTTTGATTAGGGTTTTGTTTTATTGTGGGTTTTATTTTTTTATTTCTACATTATTACTGAGATACTCTATGAGAGCTAGCTCCCAAACTTCAGACTTGTAGATAAGCCAAGTGAGCAGTGATTCCTTATAGCTTAGAGAAGTTGAGTTGTGACGTACTGATTTAATGGGCTGCTCTTTATGTTTGTGGAAAGCTGATGTGTGCACTTTATGGTGACTCCAGCTTGTGTAGATCTATTTGTTAACCTCTGTCAGCAGTGTGTGTGTCTTGTAATTTTTCGTGCCTGTCTGTGATGATACTGCTTTGTATCAAAGCAACAAAGATGATGAAAAAATGCTTCCAGCCTTACAAAAATCGAGTATATTGCCCTTTCCTTAGAAGGTATTCTGTGGAATTCTAGCTTTTCAATGAACAAATATGTCCAATATTGTTTTGGATTTCATAAAGGAACATGTAGAGTTATTCTAAAAAGAATTGACCATTCTGTACAGTGATTTGATACCTAGAACTTTATTTTTCTCCACCTGAACTCTTTCTTCAGGAAAATCTGTCTTGAGAGAGAGAGCAGTGCTCCAAATAATACCTTCCTTCACTTGTTGCGTGACTAATCTGCAATGTATCCCGCCTAACTTGTGTGAAACTAGTAACTATGTATCATGCTTGAACAAGGTAGTTCATCTGAGGTTAATAGAGCTTTGCCATATTAGGACTACTTTAAGTCATTGTGGAAAAGGAATGTGGTGTGGCATCAGCACAACTCTTCCATATCTGAGGTTTTAGAAAGAGAGGAAACAATGCAGGGGAAATGAGGCAAATTAGGAGGGAGGATGGGAACCTGTCTTCCCCATAAGCTAATCAATGGACTAAAAGAGCAAAAATCATCATTAAGCAATCCAAAAGAGATTCCACTTCTTTAAATATGTGTTTTGGCACTAATCCTGAATGTCTGGGTCTAGGCATTTTTTGTGTATCAATTTTGCTAAGTGTATGTTTCACGAAAAGAAATGCTCACTGAAACAGCAGGTATGATTCAAACTTTTTTCCTAAGCTACTCTAGCCGTTTCCAAAAGCTGTTTGGAAAATAAAACCTTGCATGGGTCTCTGAAAATATTCTCTTGGATTTGAAAACCGTGCTTAACTTTTAGTGGACACCTGTAACTTATACAGAAAACTATTCTTAACCACATTGCATAAATTTATTTCCTCTTTCCTCCACCCCGAATTTTCTTGCTAAAGTGTTACCTTGAGTTGAAATCATTTAGGCAATTGTCTCGCAGTGAAGATGAAGGACAGGAAGTGACCTACAAACAGAGCAGGTGACATGCTGTCACATAGCCTAGAAAAAGAGTGATTAAATTCTGCTTCACAGAGCAGTATATCTGCAGAGTGGGACACTTTCTTCCATTTTCTGTGTTGCCTACTTTATGGACTGTGCGTGTTTTCCATGTGTGGATTTATGTATTATTTTGTTGTTGTTTAGAAACTGTTCTGTGGATTTGCAATGTTAATTCCCCAAGTACTTCAGGATTTATATTATTCTACAGATGATTGCATTTACAGATGAGGTAGTGTTGTGAAGAACATCTATTTAGTGAGCTTACAGCAGTTCCTTGTTCTAATGCCTGATGGGAATTGGATGAATGTTCCAGAATTTTGGTTTGTTTGGGGAAAGCATAGCACAGAAGTGAAAGCTATGATTTCCTGATCTTAGTCAAAGTGTATTATTTCACTTATTTCATTCACACTTCAAAGAAGACTGGTAACACTGGTGTCTAAAGTAGTCTTCCTCAATGAGGTGAGGGCTAGAGTTGTCTTTTCCTAAATCATTTAAGTCACTTGAGAACAGGCCAAAGATTTCACTTGTTTGCCATACTTGGGAGGAGGAGTGGTTGTGATCCAGTACTTGTCACTTCTCTGGGGATTTAAGTGGAGCCGGTTTTTTTATTGCTATAGGTTTCCCTCAGCAACAGGGCAAGTTGTTCAAGCTAACTTTGCTCTAGTTTTTTGCTTCACTTCTGTCCAGTTTTTAGAGGTTGGGGTTAACTGTGATTACAAAATCATTTTAAGGGTGCTGTGCTATTTAGCAGGTAGCACGTAGCACTGGGTTTTGAAATCTTGCTTCTAACTCTACTGCTGGTCTGGTTGACCATTAATGAAGTTATTTTCCCTTTTCAACCTGGAAGAGAAATTGCAGTACGGCTGTTATCTTATAAAATGTTTAAAATTTTACTGATGGGGAGAAAGCCCATCATAATTCATGAGAGATGTGAATTATGAGCAGATATGTCTGCATAACTTTTTTTAAAGCAACGATGGGGAAGAGGACTTGGTTCTGCTGTAGAATTACCAGAGCCTAACAGAACATCCTGTGTGCAGCTTTGGTCACTGCAATACAAGAAAGATATTTAAGCTACCAGAGAGTGCCCAGAGGAGGGCAACAAAGATGATGGAAGGCCTTGGGAAAAAGCTGTATGAGGAATGGCTGAGGCCACTTGGTTTGTTGAACCTGGAGAACAGGAGGCTGAGAGGAGACCTCATTGCACTTACAACTTCATCATGAGGGGAAGAGGAGGGGCAGGCACTGATCTCTTCTCTGTGGTGACAGTGACAGGACTCGAGAGAATGGCCTGAAGGTGTGCCGGGGAGGTTTAGTTGCATATTAGAAAAAAGTTACTCACCTAGAGGGTGTTTGGGCACTCAAACAGGCTCCCCAGGGAAGTGGTCACAGCACCAATCCTGACAGAGTTCAAGAAGCGTTTGGCAACACTTTGGGGCAGAAGTGTGACTCTTGGGGATGCTCCCTTGCAGGCCCAGGAGTTGGACTTGATGGTATTCTGTCTTGTGTGATCTGATTCCTTTGTTCTGTTCAAAAACTTAAAATTTACTTGGTCAGGAGTATTTTATTAGATATTTTTGTCATCAGTACTGTTACTGAATTATTTTAAGAGGCACATGAGTATAAATTCTCATCAAGCAACCTGAAGTTTGTCACCATTTCTCATTGTTTTCTTTCATACTCTTTTTGAAAAAACTTCAAAGTACTAGTGTCAAGTTCTTGTCCAAGTATAAGTAGTATTTGTCCTTAGAAATAAAGGCATTACTGTGCAGAATATCTAGCATGTTTCTTGGTGTTGGTACTTGGGGTTTTTAAACTGATAACCATATGGCAATGATGACAGATTCTTACTTGCTCCTAAGCTATAGGAGGTTGCTAGGGGTTGTCAGATGACACTTGCTCACATGAGAGCCATTAACAGGGTGTTGTAGCCAGTGTTAGAACAACCTTGCAACTAAGGGCGAGTCACTGCAAAAGCAACCATGCTTTTTTTTTTTTTTTTTTAAAGAGGCCATATGGTTCAGTCTTGTGACTACGTAATTGCCAGCTACCTAAATCACATACCAGGAAACAAACACAGCTAAAGTCAATATTAGCTGTTGTATCTGCTACAGCTTTGCACCAGGCTTAGTAGGAAAACCTCTGACAGCAGCAAGAGCAAGTCCAGGATGGCTTCTGAAACCTGAAAGTCATGTCTGTTTTATCTGGAATAATTGCAGGAGTGCATTAGCTACAGCTGGTCTTTTGTATTAATGGCTTATAGAATACATGAAGATTGTTTTGCCTTTCTTTCCCCCAACTGGAAATTCAGCAGACTGTGTTCCTTTATAGGGAAGAAAGCTGATGGTAAATTACCATTGTTAATGGTTGATCGATGGTGAAGAAACTTGCTTGAGGCTGTTTCTCTTCAGCAGGTATTTAGTTTCTTTGAGGCAGCTTTACAAGAGGATTTGTAGCTAAGAAAATGTGTGGGGGTACACCAAAAACTGCAAATGGCACTGGGGGACAAATAGAAAGAACAAGAAGCAACAATGATGTACCACTTGGAAATAATCTCTCTTGTACCAAATTGGATGAAAGAATTAGAAAGTCTTTGAGAGACGGAAGTGTCAGCTGTGCCAACAAAGTGACTAGACTGCTACAAAAAAGGTATGCATGTAACTTTTTTATGTATATGATTTTTGACAAAGAAAACACATTTTTATGTAACACTAGATTTATAATCATGTGCTGTAAGACTACTTTGTAAATAATTGAAAAAATTCTGCTAGAAGCTTATTCTTGATGATGACTGAAACATGAGAAAGTCTTTCCTTTTTGAAACTGACCTAACATATTTGACTCTGATTTGTACGATTTATGTATATGCAAACTGAGGCATAAAGGGTAATTGCCTTTCTTTTCAATTAAGGTTAAATAATCTTACCTTCTCTTTCTAGTTTCCTAATTAGTTCCCTCTCTTTTACTTTTTTTGCCACCTCCTGTGTTAATGGGTCAAGTACTAACAGTGTGAGGAGCTGACAGGAGAGAATGCTGTGAAGTGGGGGAAGAACAGAGAGGGGAATCCTCTGCTTTACTTGTAAATTACCCCTCATTCGAGCATTACATCAGAGTAATCTGAAGTGGGAATAGTATTTATTTAACTTTTGTGTTGTCCTTTTCAGACATGTGCCAGCATGTCTCCAGTGTCTGACTTTGTAGCTATGTAGCTGTGTTAAAAATATGGTTCAGGGTGGCTTTTTCCAAATTCTAGCACCCAGGGTTTTTAGAATTAGTATTCTACATTCAGGATTGCTGGCCTAAGAAGCAGAAAAATGTAGATAAATATACGTAGATGTTTCAGTCTGTTTGGTTCTCTAGCCTGTAGATGTTGGACTCGAGGAGTGAGGGGTTAGTCACTTTCAAAAACATTTTAAGGTCAGCTGAAGTAGTTTTTGGATATAAGTGCATAGGTCACTCTTCAGTTATTGCATGCATGCTGATAATTATAAAGGTGAAGCAAAAGCTTTCTTTGTAAACATTAGCGTTTGGAGATCTATATTGACTGAAAGTATTTATTAAGGGCAGAATAAGGCAATTTTTTTGTGAATTTTTTCCCAAAATAAACAAGTTTGCTTTCCCCTAAGTAAGAGAGATCTTGCCTCTATGTCTCATAACTGTAATTGAAGAGATATCAGTAAGCTGTTCCAAACTTGTGGCTTCCTTTCAAAAGATATAAACAAACCCGTAGCATTTTAGTATCTGTGGTAGACCTGGTTCTACTGTCATATGAGCACAGCTTGATTTGGTTTATTTATTTGACTTGAAGATAATGTTGGTTAGTTCTAGCATCTTCCACCTACAGTAAAGGTACAATCTGAATGTGAGGCTAGGTAAGCTGAGATGCTCAAATAGACTGATGGTGTTGAAGGAGCCACTTCTTCCTTTGATTTTAGGCATCATGCTCTTGTCCTTTTTCCCCTTGTTCTGGCCTTGGCCTTTTAAGTCCTTTTAGAACTGGCTCCCCTTAGGGAGTCAGCTCACTAAGCAGAGAACTGACTTGGGAACAAGAAAACTCAATTAACATCCCAACTAGCCTCAGTACTTACTTGGAATGGATCAGGAACATTTTCTTTGTGCCCTTTCCTAAAGGTATATAGTTCCATGGATGAAATGAGTTAGTGTAAGTCATGCTGCCACCAGGAGGTGCAGGTTCCACTGCCTTCTACTTGTTCCTTTCTCCAACCTTGTTTCTGATCCACTTTCATGTGCTTGGACAGACTTCTGTTGCTGGAGAGAATTCAGTTTACTGGAAGGTCCAGCAATTACCGGAGCAGACACAAGTAACAGGAAGGGTCACATAGTTACAACCAGGGGGAATAAGATATTTGGGGCTCGTACTTCCGTGGTCAGATAAGAAAACATGTTTAGTCAGAGCAGCCACATTTAACCTGAAATGTGAACATATACACAAGATCATATTAATTTAGTTAATTCAGCTAATTTTTAAGAATATGCAGGACCTTATTATTGCTAAATAAGCAATAAGCTGATATAGAGATAAGGAAGTAACATTTTGGGATTTTGGTTTGTACGCATGTGAAAATGAGTCTGCGTACTGTCTGTATTCTTCAGCAGTCTGCTTTTAGGAGATGATTGAATACTCCTGCTGTCCCTGTTTTGGGGAAATTGTTACATAACCTCGCTTAAACAATAAAGGGTGGAAGTACTGTAAGCAGTGCTCATCAGCTTTTGTGATGGGCATAAACATCCCGGTTATCTGACTAGTCTTGGGCCTGCTGCTGGATTCCATGTGGAAGTAATGAGGCTGCATGGACTTGTATGCCTGTATAAATTGTCCATAGATATGCTTGATGTTATCAAATGAGGATCTCTTCTGCAATGGGTGGGTCTGCTGTAGGAAATCTGTAAGCAATGGCATCATTAAAACATAAGTTTGATATTTGGTTAGAACTATAAGAAGCATTATCTGAAATTACTTCCCTAGATTTCATTTGCTAGTCACATGAAGCTCTGTATGATAGATTTTGTGTAATCTCTTAGTTTGTGCTGTCTGGTATTAAAGAATCTGTTTGTAGTTCTGGCTGATTGCAGCAATCTTTAGTTCTAGCACATTGTGTGGAAAAGGCTGTTAAGTTAGCTTCTACTTTAACATAAAATCCAGTTCATGTCTTGTACAGAAGTCAGCACTGCATGAACAACATGAGGTTTGCTTTAGTGTGTAATGAGGGAGTTCATTTGTTCATAAGGAAACCTGAATTCATGCAACCCAGCTTGCATGCAACCCTGCATCAGTGGGCAGATGCAAGACTAAATTGGCTCAATCTGTGTCTGAAATGAATTTTTCTCAGTTTAGACTTGCAAGCCTGTGGTCTGAAGTATGGATGCTGCTGTGCCAGTCATGGAGATAAGGCTTTACTCCTGCACAGAATTTAAGCTGAAGCTATAGAGATGTAACTTTATTTGTTGTTAAAGAAAGGAAAGACCTACAGTCTTTTTAAGAAAACAGCGTAGTTACTTCAGGTTGTCTGTTTCAGCAAGTGAGTAAATAGATAGCTGTGTAACTGAAAAGATAGTGGGGTATCTGGTACTGAAGAGTATCAGATTCATGTGGCAGACAAGGATGAGGTGTATTGATTGCTCTGACTTCTCTTGCATTCAATATAACTGGATTTTGTAATAGCAGACTTCTTACACAGATGATGTAGTTGCTCTGTGTGTAAGCAAGGTGTGTAGGATCTTGTTGGGCAACTATCAACAATGGTATCAGGTCTGGTCTCATGCAGGTTAACATAATGCTGTGATTGCCTTTGAAAGGGAAGGCTTGAAAAGAAATCTGCCTGGCACTCTCAGCAGTTCTGGAGGCAACATGTTACCTATGCATCAAGAAGTTTCCTCACTGTGGATGGCAAAACAGCCCTTAGCATCATTCCATGATGGGAAACCTTGTATATTACGTACATACAGCATACTTGTATTAGAGTACCTTACAGTGAAGATAGGTGTCTGGCTTATTCTGTGCCATGATGTTTAAAAATAGACCTCCAGATCGAGGTCTTTCAGGTTTTTTGTTTTGTTTGGTTTTTGTTTTTTTTTTTTGAGCTATGTAGAAATAGCACAAAGAAGAAATTAAGCTGGCTTTACTTAAAATTATTTTAAAATCCCAAGTCTGCAAGTGTACTTCTAAAGCAGTTATCCTGACTCCAGCAGGATTTGATAGTGTTTACCTCACTGTTGATTTATGGGTGTTGACAGAGCATGGAATAAAAGAAATAGTTTCATAAATGCTAGTCTTTCATCTGCATAGGAATTTTATGCTCTTCTCTCAATTATCTACCTTCCATTTCTATAAAGCACAGTTTGGGGAAATTCCTAAATGAAACCTCCTTTTGGGTGGAAGATCAGTGCGGCCTTGGCTGAAGTCTGTTATGCAGTTTGCTAAACCAACAACTATTAATAAGAGTTGAACTCTCACCCCCCAGGTGCAGTTCATCCAGGTCAGGGCTGGGGCAGTGTGACTGAGCATCAGTGCTCTGTGGCACTGCTTTATGCAGCAGTAGGTTTTTTCCATTGATTTCAGCTTGTCAGCTACATACCTGAGAAGTGTTTTCTGTAGCTGAAGCTGAGGCCAAGCAAATCTCCATGCTCTGATGTGCAGACTGAGTCTTTTTGGAATTAAAAAATAAGGTTTCTTGTCGTTGCCACAATGATCAATTTGGCTCCTCAGCCCCTGTGGTAGTGCAGCGAGGCAGGTCGTGTGCTGTGTTGTATCTTTGCAGAATGGGCAGATTCTGGCTTGAGAGAATTGTTTTGCTTTAGGTTGAAGTTCAAGTATCTTGGTTTAACGTACTAAATTATTTTCTTTGTAGCTGGACATCAAGTCTCAGTAATCAGTGGCTGCTCTGTAACCCCTGAAATGTCTCAGAAAAGGCGGAAGAAAAATAGAACAAAATAAACCTTGTCTATCATTTGCAAGGCTTAAACTTTGGGAAAATCTTAACTTACATGGTCAGGAATAGGTCAAAAGGAAGAGAGAGGATGTAAGCCTTGCGCTCTTGAAAGGCTGCAGTAGAGAGGATGGTAAACCATTGTGTTTTGTGCCAGTGGGAGTATTGTATAAAATAATATGCTTACCTTATAAAAAGGATGATCCAGGCTGTGTACAGAGAAGAGAATAATACTAGTTAAGGCCTGGAGCAGATTGCTGAGACTAAGTTTTGTGTCCTCTTTCTGGAAAATTTTGGAAGAAGATTGGATGAAAATTGGTCTGGCTGTGCCTGCCTTTGTCAGTGACACTGAGCTTAGACACTCCTTTGGAGTTCCTTTTTGCTTTGGTGATTTGCAGCCTGGATTCTGTAAATGCTAAGTAAAACATGTATTTGCCTAATACTCGTTTCTTCACTTAAATGAACCTGCAAAGTAAACACACTATTTTAATATCTTGTGTTTCTAATCTGTAGCTGGTCCTCTTCAGAGTTGGACTTGAATGAAATCCGCCTGATAGTTTACCAAGACTGTGAGAGGAGAGGCAGACAGGTATTATTTGATTCCAAAGCAGTCCGCAAAATTGATGAAGCTGTGGTTCAGGTATGGAATTTTAATTCTGCTGTTCTCCTACTGCTCTTTTGTTTTCCTTTCCAAAAGCAGTTCTTTTAATAGAACAGTGTCAACTTGTTAATTTTGTGATCTTTCACTGTGATAGCTGCAACAAGCATCGTTACAGCAAGCCTATGCACATATTTGGTATTTATAATATAAATATGGTATTCAAATGTAACAATCCAGATTTGCTTTCAGGCAGAGAAATCTAATTACCTTTAAACTGAGTATTTCTTCAGCCTTTCTAACGTTGACTGGGTTTGCTTTTTGTTGTTAGCCCTGGCTGTGCAGTCTGTTTCAGTGATGTCCACCATGTGTCTAGAGGTGCTTTTTTTCCTTTGGTGTTTGGAGTAGTAAAGCTGTTGTCTTTGTGTGAATTAAAACAACTTCACTAGCTAACCACGCTGTACTGTGTAAGCATGACACATGGCAGTATATATGGCCATGTAAGTTTCAGTGACACATAGAAGCAAGAGCAGATGCTATCAAGATGCAAGTTCTTTTTGCTTCTCTCCAAACACACAAACTGTGGAGTAAAGCTTTCAGCAAACTTAGGTGATTTTAAGATCAGTAAAGCAACAGTGTTTTCTCTTTTGTAGTGGTTTTGCTTGGTTTTTTTCCCCTACTCCCTCTATGTTTCTCTTCTACATTAAATTATTTCGAATTTTTGTTTGTTTTGAAGTTTTTTTTAGAATCAGCAGCTTCAGCTTGTTAGACTAACATGGTTTATTGCAGAGCTATATATATACACCTGTATAACCCATAGAAGAACAGTCACAACTTGTAGAACTTAGTTATGAAGATGCTTAAAAAGCAACAGTCTGTATTTCAGTCACACTGTAAATATGCCATGGTGCTGAATCAGTAAGACTGATGAGCATCATCAGCTGATGTCTGATCATCTACTTAAGAGCATAAATGGGTCAGACTGGTTGTTAATCTTGCTTCCCCTCTTGCCCCACCCCCTGCCCAAAATCAAGGTCATTACTTAGTATCTTAAAGGTTTTTTAAAACCAATAGCATCTTAACAAAAAATGCATTTCTGGCTTCATTTAAGTACTCAAATTATTCCACTTGCTTGAATACCTTAGCTAAAAGTTAACTGAAAAATGTCCTACCAGAAACTGTCTATGCAACACTGACATAAAACAGATTATAACCTCCCTCGTAACACACGATAGAAGCTATAATCTGTTTTCTAGTCAGACACTCACTAATCTAAGTACCCCTTTAAAACAGCCAAAGCACTTTGAATGCCATGCAAACACCTAGATGTTAAAAATTATTTTGAGTACTTGATTATCAAACACCAAAACTAAAACTTAATTCATTCAAAATTAAGACAAAATTACTTTCAAACTCAGTCCCATTTAAATTGAAGTCAAGGAAGCATGTGTGTATACTGTGTGGTTTTCTGAAATACACTAAGGCTTATTCACATTAAGTATTCAAATACATTGTTTGTCTTTAACCTGCTAATTCTACCAGATGATGGATTATTCATCCCTTGTTTTTGCTGGCTGTTCTTCTGTTTTAGAAATCTGTTAATCATTTGGGGAGCAAAAGTTATATGCAATTTGAGTGATTAATTGTGCAAATGATTACAGGAATTGGTTTGTAAGAAACCCATAAGCTGAGATTTTGTTTACATTAAATTTTGGCAACTATTACAAAGAGTAATTCATAACAATTGGGAATGATCTTCCTGTGAAACTGATTACTCCGATTCTATGTGAGACTGTGAAAACCTATCTGACAGCGTGAATGTGAGAGCAGTTCTCCACTTGCTCTGATGCTGGCATTTCAAAAAATATTTTAAAACTGATACTTTTTTTTTGAACCAAGTAAGAGTATTCTTTATTTCTGTTGCTTTCCTGCAGATTTAAGGAGATTCTTGCCATGATATGTTTAAAGATGGGAGTTCTCACATTTACTTTTTATCACTTTGTTCTGTTTTAACATAGAAAATGGCAGATGAGGCTTCTGTAAAGACTTCTACCAAGAACTGCCAAGCAAGCAATGGGAACAGCAATGTTTCTTCCCATGGTCCCTCTGTAAGCTGTGTGCAAAATATCAAAGAACAGATACCGAAATATCAGGTAATATTTGCTACTTTGTTGCTTTTGATTTTCCATTGTACTGAAGAAGTTAGTTTATTAAAGCTTTCTATTAGATCTTTGAATGACTTTGGCTTCTATTACATTACAGCTTAATCTGAATCTTGAGATATCTACTCTGTCCTCAAAGTGTTGTAGAATAAAAATATGTGTGGGTGTATCTTAACCCTTTAGTCTATCTTGGTCTTATCATTCAAGGAGTTGTGAAATATATCTAATACCATTTTGTCATAAGAAGGTCATAAAAAGCACTATACTGTTCTCTGTTCATATCTGCTTATGGTTCAGGTCAGTTCTGAAGAGGCTGTTGAACATGGTTTATTAAGAGTTTCTTTAGACTGTCTTACTATAACAATTAAATTTTAGGTGCTTTGTCTCTTTCTTAGTAGAAACGTTAGCACTTCACCTAGAAAAATGAAGTTTGAAGAATGTATAGGTTAAGGTGGGAAAAGAAAATAATTATATTTAACTGGAAGGTGATTTTCTTCAGAATTAAAAAACTTCTCTTTGTATTTGCTATTGATGATAAGTCTTTGAAACAAAATAAGCAACTGTTCTGAAGACTGTATTTCTAAGTATAGTCATAAATCATTTTCCAATAAAAAACATTTCCACAAGGGCAGGGAAAGTGAATTTACTCATTTGAATAAGGAAGGCAGTTTATTTTTTGGGGATCCACACCACAGAATCCAAGTCCTGTAACATTATCAAACACTCTGTAATATGGGAATGTTGCTGGACACAGCTATTTTTTTTTGGAAATGCAGAAGATCTTTTTTTCTGTCTTGCCCTTGTGGGTCCCCCCGGACCAAGGGTAGTACTGCTCATCTAGTCAGAAGAATGTGGGATTTCTTCCTGCTGTACTTGCTAAATCCACAGTGTTAAACCCACACTGAGTGCACACTGATCTTCTCTGCATGAAAAAGATGAAACTCTTTGTTCTCCATTCCAAATGCATCACTGTGACACTATGGTAAGTTGAAATAGTATGCCAAGTTATTTTTGACTTTGCTGTTCCCATCTTCTTGTCTGTGTAGTACACCAGACCAGCCTCTGATGTCAATATGCTGGGAGAAATGATGTTTGGCTCAGTGGCAATGAGTTACAAAGGCTCCACCTTGAAAATTCACTACATACGGTGAGTGTCCTTTTCTGTGATGCACTGTCTTGTCAGGCACTTGGAATTGATGACTCAGTGAAATAAATGACTGTTTATCCTTTCAGCTCTCCCCCACAGCTGATGATAAGTAAAGTCTTCTCAGCCAGGGTAGGAAGCTTCAGTGGAAGCAACAATAAGTAAGAACATTTTTTTTTATATATAATTTCTTTCCTTTCCCAGCCAGTGCAGTTGTCTGTCTGTTTCCTTTTGTAGTTCTGGTAGAAAATCGGGAAGGCAGCTGTGGAGAATTCTCTTAATAGATCCTAGTTAGGCTGGCCAAGTTTTTAATTTAAAAAATCTCCAAGTTTCTACTTCCTAATTTGTCCAGGGCATGCAGTAAAATTCAGAGGTTAGGTGCTTTGGACAATCAAAACCTCCATCTCTTACTGCTATCAGAAGATGAGGAAGAGATATGCTGAGAATGCTTTGTCCCCATATCCCACTTTTGTTTCCTTCAACAAATACACTGTTCTGTTGTACCTCCTCCCCAAAATGGGCAATATGAATAAATTGAAACTTAAATGCCATAGAAAGAAGCTTCCAGTAATTCAAATATAAAAAATAAATGCCATTTCCTTCCAGTTTCAGAAACCTACTTGTCCTTCAATTTGGTTTTAAAGTTCATGTTCAGCCTTTTTTTTTTTATAAAATGAACCTAATTCTTAAGCTAATATTAATGCCTATTGATCATATTCTCAAGGAATACTGGCTTCTCCCCCTGTTTTAGCTTGCAAGATAGCTTTGAATACATCAACCAAGATCCCGGTCTGGGAAAGCTGAGCTCCAATCAGAATGGTTTGGGAACCTGTCGCAGTGGAAGTAATTTAGGTAAATATTTCCAGGTTCTGTTTCTTTCTGACAACACAAGGCCATCTGTTCATTCAGTTTTGGCTTTTTTTCCCAGTACATCACCTCCTTGGGTTTTTTACTTTCAGCCTGGTTGTTGGGGGTGTTTTTTTTGTTTTTTTGTTTTTTTTTTTTTTTCCATTTTTTTTCCATTTTCTCTACGTTGCTTTTGTTTCCTAGGTGTGTTACAGCTGTGTAGCAGCAAACTGCTGCAGGGTGTGTCTGAAGGAGGTCCCCTCCGGCTCATCCGCAGTGCTTCTTTCTTTGCAGGTTTGTGTGGAATGCCAGCCACAGTGTGACCCATCCATATGCACACACAAATCCAGCTCCTTCTGAATCTTTGCAGGACATGCATAATTAGTCTCTAGAAACAGGGCTAAAATAGTGACAACAGGTGTATTGGATGTACTTAAAAACATGTCTTCTGAAAAGATGGCTAAATTACTGTGTTTATTTAAAGGTATTTTATGCAGTCTTTTAAAGATGAATTAGCCCTTATGTTTCTTAGAGATGTTATGTTTCCTGGCTTGTTGCTGGTTTCTTGCTAACATGCAGGTGTCTTGCTGGTGTACAGCTTTTTCTTCTCTGATCTCTTGCTACTTTTTAATTTGGTGGCAGATATTCAAAATTCTTGATCTAAGTCTGGGAGGCTTTAAGGGTTTCTTTTCCTTAAGCAATATTAATTTCTTTCATTCTCAAACCTTTAAGCAACATAAAGTCTCTTTTTACAGGCAGAATGATGATCCATGCAGGTGGGTAGATCTCAGGCCTAATTACTTCTATTAATTGCAAAAATGTGAACTGAAATACCAATGCAGTTTCTTCACAGCATTTGCAAATCTTGCATGCTCTACAATTTGAGTAACTCTTCACTACTAACACTTGGATGTAATCTGACATAGACTGAATATTTGTTGTGAGGCTTTGTGGACAGTAAATCTCAGCTCAGCAAGTGAAACACGAGTTTTTAATGGACCTTGTGCTAGACTATTTCATTCTGATCTCAACCTGTGTCAAAGGACAATCTTGCACACTCGGAGTTTATCAAGAGTGATGAAGATACCACCAGCCCTCAGTTTCAAAGTTCTGATTTCTGATAATGCAGACTGTATTCAAATTCTTAAGCCCCTTAGAGATGTTTTTACATTTACATCGGGCAAGTAACCTTCCTGTGGTGACATGATACTCAGCTTAGGCTACTGTTGGCTGCCACCTCTCTTCACACCATACTGATTTTGAGCAGCAGTACAGGATGTAATTTTTGTGGTGTATGACCTTTAAACTTAAACATTTTTTTAAAATGCTGACAAATAGTATGGTGAATTATGTAATATTTTCTATTGATCTGCTCTGTTTGTTTTAGCACACAGCACACCTGTTGATATGCCTAGCAGAGGACAAAATGAGGACAGAGACAGTGGCATTGCTCGCTCAGGTATCTGCTGTCTATCTTGTTTGCCTGCTTTTGTAATTGTTACAATTCTTGGCTGCAGTGATTCACCTGAAATATAGACACCTCATGACCTGTAAATCCATAATTGTTTTTATCTGCTAGGTGGTTTGCCTTTTGCATTTGCCCCAAGCCTTCATGCAAAAATATTTGCAATTATATTCTTTGTTTACAGCCACCATGTTCTGGGTTCTTAACCAGTTTATAATTTGGAGGAAGAACTGGCTGGAGCCTTTACTAGAGTAAATGAAAAGAAATGGCTTTTTATACTGAATAGGAAAATGAAGACCAGAAGTCATACTGTCTATTGTAATGGGAGTGCAACAACTTCTGGGAGAGAACACTTTTAATGAGAATAAGATACATTTCAGTATGTTTTAGTAGGGACGATCTCCTACCTTATAACAAGTTAATGTCCTGAAGCAGCAAGATTTATTTAAAATAATTCTCTCCTGTTGCAAGTGAGTTGTGTGAAAAAGATCAGCAAGCAAGAGCAATATTTGTGAGACATTAGTGTTAAGAGTATGAAGAAAAGTATTTAACCAGTACTCTTTGTGATTCATTGTATGTGGGGTTTCTTGCTTTCTTCATAGCATCTCTGAGCAGTCTTCTGGTTACTCCTTTTCCATCTCCAAGCTCTTCATCATCATCATCAAGCAGCTATCAACGTCGCTGGCTCCGAAGTCAGACAACCAGTTTAGAGAATGGAATTATTCCAAGGTGGTGAGTGTAGCACCTTTCTTCTTACAACAACTGTTTGAGAGCTTAAGCTTCCTATCTTTAAAAGCACAAACCTTGTTATTAAATGTTCTCGACTCAGTCTATCTTCTGTGTATGTTACATAAGATTGCCAATATAAAAAAAGATGAACTTTTGGCTGAATGTGAGCTTCAAAGCCCAATTTGGAATATAATTATTTTTATTGAATACATAGGCCATGTATTAACATGGTGTGAATGTATAGACTGTGTATGAAGCCATATTCTGAAAAATAAATTGTTTCTGAAGGAGCAGAGCATCTTGTTGAGATGAAAAGGACTGTAAACAGCACTGCTGCCATAATGATTTAATACTATGATGAAGTCTGACTAGTTAGCAGTTAGTGAAATTTTGGAGTAATAGGCCATGACAACTCTCTTGGCTGGTACAGGATGTTCCTGATGTGACTTCTGCCAAAACAGGAAGAAAAAAAAAAGCTATGATCAAAAAGCTTGGCTTCTGTTTTGGAATTTTATTAGCTTTTGTAGCTCAGTGGCATAACAAAGCATGGAATGCAGCAGACTTTTCATAGCTAATAAGCAAATTCTTCCCTTGTCATCTGCAAAATAGCAAATGGTTCTTGATTATCCTCTCTCTGTACTCATCCACCTGTACCCAGAGACAGAATGGAATTAGTGGAGACCTACAAGAAATTCATGCTATTTGGTCTCTCTTCCTTTTCAGTTAAGAGAAGCATAAAAGCTGCCAGTTAAAATATTAAGTCAGTTAAAAATAAAAATTGAACCTCATTTGAAAAGACTTATTTCTCTAGTGTCAACTGACACTTGCAGCATTTTTTCTAGATATTCTTAGTGAATAATTTTTAACATAGTACTAATGTAGCAGTTGTGCTTTCTAAATCATACTTGTAGTTGAGAATAAACTGGTTGCTTTAAGTAAACTGAAGTACCTTTTAGTCTAGTTTTCTAAAGAAAAAAGGCTGAGAACAGCCCATGTAAAAAGGTTTAAACATTTAGGGTAAATAAGATCATTTCAGCCCAGTTTAAGAAATAGCCAAATTCTCACAAATATAAATTTCTGCAAAGTGTTCTCAAAGTTACAAATTGTCTAGAAGAAAGCCTCTTTGGGCTGCTTATTCACTGTCCGGAGGAGGGTTGTTGGTTCTTTTCCCACTAAACAACCTGTGTGGGGAAAGATACTGGAAACAGCACATCATTATTTTTACTGTCTAGAATTATTCTTGAACTGGGATTCTTTCTCAGCCAAAAAGCTTCTTCAGATACTTGCTTTCTCGCTACTTGCTAAGGAAACAATAAGCTTCTGGTTGAATACTTCAGTGCCACACAGTTTGCACCCCAGGTTGTTACAGCCAAGATTCTATAGTCTTTGTGACTGATGCTTTAGGCCAATAGCTCAAAGAAATTGAGATGTCTTGGAACTCCACATAGTCGATTGGCAAGCAAGCTAGATTAGCAGTTTTGTTGAAAAGGCTTCTCTCTCAGACCTAAATTCCTCAATTTCTGTTCCTGGGAAGCAGTACAAAAGCTTGTGATGTTTCTTAGATGCTGACTGACCATCCTTTCTTGACTTCCTTGGGAATTTCTGTCTCTGTATGCAAGTTCCTGAAGTTCAGATGAGGTTATGTTTTTGTCTTGAACTCTGTTTTCCCACAAGCTGTTTTTTGCTGGGGTTTAATTGTGTGTTTTATCCGGTGTTCATGGACTCATACCTCTGTGATGAGAATTTTTTGTATATTTAACTTTGTCAAACCAATTAAACTGTAAACCACTTATTTTTAGAATGGACTGAGTGCTTAGCCCTGAGTCTTTCCTTTTGTTAATTGCTTCATAGTGTTCTATAAATACTACAGACTCCATTTCCAGATAATTCTGATATGAAAAGACTTCAAACTTTTAATTACCACTCACTGGTATTGCAGTCTTAACTTAAAAGAAACTCGAAAACCAAGCTATTTCCAGATGAGCTGCTGCTTAGAATGTCTCCATGGCTTTTTTGTCTTTTTTTATCCTTTTCTCCTGTAATTTCCCAGTGATTAAAACCCATTATTCAGTTGAAGTTCCTTCCAACAGACATTTTTCCCATACTGTTTTACTTATTTATATATACACATTATATATATATATATATATATATATATATATATATATATGGTGGTTTTTTTCAGTGAAATTGATCAAGACTCTTCAAGAAAAAAAAAAAAAATTGTAAATCCAGCAGTATCAATATCTAGCACTGCAAGGCTAGCATTTATAGAAGAACAGGGTGAGGGATTTGCCACCCTTTGTTTAATCATAGTAAAAATCATGCTGGCCTGAGACTTGTGAGGATCATCCAAATGAGTTGCCTGTGCAAAGCAGTAGCTTGGAATTTACATTAGGTGTCTGTGGAACCTGACTCTTGATTAACTCTTTTTAGACTCTTTTTAGTCTTGAAAAACTCCAAGGATAGAGATTCCACAGCCTTTCTGGACACTGCTGTCCCCTTGATTGACATTTTTCCCCCATTTGACATTATCTGTGGACTCAGTGAAGATTTGTTTTGATCCACAGGCTGATAATCAAAACATTGAGCAGTATTGATCCTAGTAGCAACCCATGGGTAGTATTGAGAGGAGACAGAATTATTGAAAGAAATGTGACTACACTATCAAGGAAATAAATAGAACTTGGGGAAATAATAATGGTTGTAAAAGAGCCACTGGATGGGTGTTTTTTTCTTTCTGGTATTTTTTATAGTTTTAAGCAGAAAACAATCTTTCTAAGCTGAAGTCTACAGAATTTTGAGCTGGGCAAACGTATTTGTAGGCATTAAGTTTGTGTTTTCACAGTAATTACTAGGTGGTCACATTTTGTCTTCAGTTAAAATACAAAGTTTTATTTTGTATGGTTAACTGCAGACATCTATCTTAAGATGCCAGAACAATATAGATAGTATAGGTTACATGTTTCCCAACCTCCCTCATGAGCAATTGTCCAGATTCAAAAGCATCATAGATATGCAGCTGAGCACCTGGAGAGGAGCTCGAGTGCTGGATGCAGTTCACAGCTCCAAAGTTACCTTTTAACCTTTTTTGGTTATGATTTTGTGTGATGTGTCTGTGTTCCCTTTTCTTCATCTCCCTCAAATCCAGGGGGGAATCTATTAGTTCTGTTTCAGAGGAAAGTGTTCACACCAGGCCTCTCTGGGGATTGTCTTCTTCCTATTTGAACAAGCACAGGACTTACCCATCAAAATGTCAGGCATCTTCTGTTCAGAAACATGTGACAGCAAAGCCTTATGTAGTCAGTCAAGGAGTCCTACAAATGAGTTGCCTTCCACTATATAGAGAGCTATGGATAGAAGCTGAATTATCTCTCAGTACACAGGTAACTGTCCTAACAAATCTGTCTTACAGGTCCACTGAAGAAATGTTTAGTATGGCTGATGAAACCTGCAGCTCCAATCCTGCAATGGTTCGGAGGAAAAAAATTGCAATCAGCATCATCTTTTCTCTGCCTGAAAAAGAAGAAGCACAGAGAAACTTCCAGGACTTCTTTTTCTCTCACTTTCCTCTTTTTGAGTCTCACATGAACAAGCTGAAATATGCAATAGAAAAGGTACAGAATACTAATTTGGCATAATGTGGAAAAATGTCAATCAGAATGAAGTATTCTAGAATCTGATAGATGAAGAGTGGGAGAAGGTGCGTGGTTTCAAGCTTGCCTCCCTCCTTACACATGCAGTCTTGAGCTTGAGCCCAGTGTAGGAACTCAGCATGTGCTGAAAGAGGTGCAGTTTCTTTTCTAGACAGAATTAGAATGGAGAGTTTTATGCTATGGGTGTTTTTTCTTTCGTTCTTGCCATATTTCACTCTGAGGTTTTCTTGACTCCCTAGAGACTGTGGAAATTATGATACTCTGCCTTTCATGCAGTGTCTGAAAGAGACACAAAATATTTGTTGCTGTCTTCTTTCTCTCAGAAATGTTCTCTTCTCTCCCCTTGTCCAGTATTAGGGATTGTTCTCCTGTGAGGTGGAGGGAGGTTGGCATTTGTTGTTGTCCTGAGTGGCTGTATAGGACTGGGGCAAGATCTTAGTTATTTTGACATGTTAATGAAGTTTGAAAAGATGGAGAATGTGAATCCTTTAAGCAGCTGTTTTGTGTCTTTAACTCTTAATCAAGGCCATGATCTCATGTAGAAAAATAGCAGAATCCAGCCAGAGAGTGCAGGTTTATATCAGCCGTGTCATGGATGCCCTGGGAGAATTCAGGTGAGTTGATGGAATTCTGAATTACAAGGAGAGCACTTTTCATGCCCCATGAAAGATATTTGTTACTTTCAGTTATAAGCAACTGAATGTAAGGTCTTGTATTTTAGACAGTCTTGCAGTTAGTGTGAATGAATTTTCTGCATTGGTTATTGGGGAAATGTTTTCAGAAAACTTTAGCAAAACCAGCTCAGCCGTTTTCCAAACGCGAATGAAAGTAGTTCTGTTACATTCACGTGTTCCTGCGATTGTCAGTTAAAGTCTAAACATCTCATCAAGAGCTGGCTTCTGCTGATGATTGTACAGTTGGGTGGATTGATGTACTCATGCAGATAGATGTGTCTACTCCTAGCCATAGATGTTGAATAATGTAACTGGCAAGAAAGTTGCAGTCAAAAGCTCTCTTTTCTGTACTTGAGAAAGGAAGGAATGGTCAAAGGCTAAGAAAATCAGCCCAGGAGAGAGACAAGGCTGTAATGGAATGGAGGTGTTCTGTAACATCTGGAATGTAGAAATGAATCTATGCAATGAATAGAATGGGTTCTTGTTCCTCTCAAATTTATTTCTGAATGGTTTCTCTGAATGAAATTCACATGGGAATGCAAAAAAGGGAAGCCACATATGTAACTCATACGAAGACACCGAGTTACTGATAATATGAATTAAACAGACTAGTGTTCTGAACACTAGTAATTACTGGAAGAGCAAAAACTCTCCCAGTTTGTTTAGTCTCCTAGATCTTACCAAAAAAAAAAAAAAAAAAGGCAATCTAAAATCTGGACAACAGAAGAGGAAAGGGGCTACTTATATTTATTTGCAGAATTGAAATGTGCATGTTAACACTGACTTCTTGGGAATTTTCTTTGAGCAGAGTTACCATCTGGAACCTATATTCTGTTCCAAGGATTGCAGAGCCTGTGTGGCTTAATATGATGTCCAGCACCCTGGAAAAGAATCAGCTATGCCAGCGTTTTCTTAAAGAATTTACCTTTCTGATAGAACAGATCAACAAAAATCAGTAAGCTTCCTTCACTCCCTTTTTCTTAAGAAAAAGCTTTTGTGCTTCCCAGTGCATGTGACTATGTTAAAGCACTTAATGGGGTGTTCTGTTGCTGGTGTTACTTTGGACATGCTTTTTTAAACTTTTTTTCCTCCTAGGTTCTTTGCTGCTTTGCTGACCGCAGTGCTGACATATCACCTGGCGTGGGTCCCAACAGTGATGCCAGTTGACCATCCTCCCATCAAGGCCTTCTCTGAGAAGCGCACATCCCAGTCTGTGAACATGCTGGCAAAATCCCACCCATACAACCCTCTCTGGGCACAGCTGGGTCAGTATGCTTTGGAAAGCTTCAGATTTTTCTCTAACAAGCACCTTTGTGCATCCACTCCTTTTAGATAAGGACTACTTGTAATCCAGGTCACATTTCCTGCTACCAACGGGTGTCTTTTGCCTCATTAATCAGAGCATTTGGAGGCCTCTTTGCATGCCCTGCTTTTTATCCTTGTTGACATCCTCTGTTACGCTGGTTAACTTGTAATAGAGGTATTAAGATGGTGCAAGTGCTGTCAATGGTCTGAGCAGTTTGGGAAAAAACAAGATGAAATAGACTAGATTGAGAGGAGTTCCCTGGGACTTGGAGGCCCTTTGTAGTTGAAACTGGCTACCTCCCTTTGTCTCATTCTCACATAACTAGAATAGAAAGCAGGGCAATAAATCAGAAGTCTGGTAACTGGCAGTAGCTCCATTCACTTAGTGTTACATGAATGGGCTTGGGGCAAGATTTTTTTCTATGCTCTGTGCCTCAGGCTGGTCTGACAAATATTTTATAGCTTGTAAATTATCTTGATACAAGGGACTAGATGACTGATGTCAAATGAGTAGGTGAATGAAAGCTAAGAAAGTCATTCTGTCAGTGGTAAATATTTGAAAATTCCTCCTCTTCTTGGCAGCAGATGAAAATCTGACATCAGACAACCCTTCACTTTAGCTGATGTACTATATTGCCATGCAAAATAACACACGTGCACACTGAGGCAATGATGTGACTTACTCTGTGATGCTGGTGCTGTCTTTTCCTGATTGTCTCAGGCTTCTTTTCCTCAGTAACCTCTATGAAAGATTTGCTACTTTGGCCATGTAATTGTAGTGAATTGTTTCCTGGTTTAAGATGTCATTTAAACATTGTGCAGAGGTTAGACTGAAGGGGAAATAAGAAGTGCGTCTGTGGTGTTGAGGACGGAGCCAGGCCTGGAGTTGCAAAAACCAGCTGGACTGGAGGCGTAAGCTCAGTAGTAGCTCTTGTGGTTGTTCCCAGGAGTCACCACTGGTGACTAGTCAAGAGTCTGTTTCTCTTTTTGTCTTGCCAAGTTCTCAGTGCCTGAACTCAAAATGCTCTCTGATTTTTGTTTCATTGTTATAAAGCCCAAGAAGCTGTTACTGTTGTGGTTGCAAAAGCTGATTGTGAAAGGGAGATGTTGCCCTCTGCTGGTCCTCTTCTTTAGGAAGAGGGAAGAAAAACAAAAAAATCAAGTCTTAAAAATGGAAATGACAGGATTTTGATGTACCTGTCTTTCCACCTTCAGACCTGTATTTTCATTACACATTACATATCAACTGCAATTATGTACTAATACAATTAGTACATGTACTAATACAATTAGTACATGTCATGAAAACATACTGTCTCTTAAACACCAGTTTCAATCTAATGGTATTAACAAAGATCACAATTTTGACTTGTTGCACTGTCTTATTAGTATTTATATAAAAGCCAATTGTGCAAATGAGCATGAAGCCTGCATCTGATTTCCATAGCAACTGTGCTCAACTCAAAAGTAAAACAATATATTCCAGTTTCGTTTCCATATTGCTTGTCCTTGTGGCCTACCAGCCTTTGAGATTGAGAAATCTGAAGAAGTCTGAAAAACTACTTTTAGTTCCTGAAGAATGAATTTGCTGGCTTGTTAGGCTCTGGGGTTGGTTGCAAGGGTGTCCCTAACTGAAGGAAGATGGCACCACTGATGCCACCCCACAGGAGCCTCTCCAGTGCATCACTGGCATTGTGGGAAATGGCAGATCTTAGCAGGGGAGACAGAGAAACCATGGAATTACTGTCTCATTGATCCTTTTTTGTAGGAATGGAGTTGGGAGCCTTATTCCTTTTATGATGTGTATAGTGAGAAGGAGGCTGGACATAAATGTGCTCTTTGGAGTTTTTTTTTGCTGTGTTAGCATTGAAACCAGAGTCCCCCTTGCCCTTGGAAGAACCCTTTCTGAAGCTCTGTTTATAACTCTTAATATAGTGTTGCTTCTTGAGGTCTAGTACAAAATCCTGATGGCAAGCTCTGTCCAGAACAGAATTTGAGCAGCCCAGAGGAAGGATTTAGCACCTGAAAGCAGTCTGATAGATTAGCAGGTAGCTGATCAAACCTCAGGGTAGAGAAGCCTGTTTTCCACACTGCAGGTAGCTGAAGAAAATGGAGCGTTTGCCAGCTGTCTCCCATGTGCTGGTGAGATCAGACATAGATTGGTTAGCCAAAGACAATTTAATGAGTGTTCTCTGATGGGTGTCATGTGAAGACAACTGGGTTAACTCATCCTGGGAATAGACACTTCTCTGAGTTAGCTGATCTTTTACCAACAGGGCATGTGAACATTCCCTTACTGGCGGTCTATGTTTACTTCTCCCAGAACTCTGGAGTAGGAACCCTTTACCTGATAGATGATTAAAAGCAGCTGGAAGATAATTGCCACTCTCCCAAAGAAATATTTTAAAGTAGGATACGTACAATTTTAGTTCTGTTAAGACAGCAGTTATGCAGAATAAGTAGCAAGTAAGTCATTCTCAGAGGGACTTAGATGATGATCTAGTAGTGCCTTTCATATTGCAGTTGTATTTTGATTTTCTGCTTCTCTACTCCCCCTACCAAAGTTAAATGCTCATGTGAGTGAGGTTGGCTCCCACATACACAGCACGTGCCTTGCTCAATAAGGTAGTTACATGCCTCTTTTTTTCTGAGCCTCATTTATTAAGTTAATATTTATTTCTTTTTTTCTTTTTTGATATCTTAGTCCTGAAAAACATAATTAAAATTTTATCTTTGTAAAAATGCCTGTGTTTAACAGAGGTTAAAACAGAAAAACTTTGTGAAAGAAAATTAGTAGAAAAACAGAAAATAGTATATAGCTGGCTTCAGAGTTTTGCTGTACCTACATTCTGCTTTGCCCCCTTGTGTCAGTTTCCAGGTGATAATGTCTTGTAAGCATTGTGTAAATTAAATCTTAGTGGTCTTAACAGAAAGAAAATGAGTAATAGCAGCTGATTGCTCACAAAAGACCTTCTGGACAAAAGCCAGGTGTAAGAAGCATTAGATGGCTTCCTTTGTTACTCTTTGTTTAAGACTTTTATGAATTCACTGTGGAAGAAATTAACTGTCTGATTGTGTCCATAGTAAATGCTGTTTCAAAATGTGTTGAATTTGAACAGTATGAGTTATATTACAATGCAACATAAACCTGTGAAGTTTCTGCTTTCCTGTGTAGGTGATCTCTACGGTGCCATAGGCTCTCCAGTGAGACTGACTCGGACTGTGATTGTTGGAAAGCGCAAGGAGCTGGTGCAGCGCTTGCTCTATGTTCTAACTTACTTCATCCGGTGCTCTGAGCTGCAGGAGAATCAGCTGACGTGGAGTGACAAAGCTGGGGAAGGAGAGCAGGTGCTAAATGGAAGCAAGATCACAACTGCACTAGAAAAGGGAGAGGTAGAAGAATCTGATTATGTGGTTGTCACTGTTAAAAATGACCCTGCTCTTGTGCCTCCAATCCTACCTCCAAAGAATGATGGAAGTAAGAACAGTACTGCAGAGGGGGTGCATGAACCAGAAAGCACTCAGGCTGTCCCAGTTTCATCAAGAGAAAAGAGGGAAGCAATAGAAAAGACCAGTCAGACCTCTGAAACATCTGTTGACTGTCTAACTGGCAGTTCCTGTAAAGGAACAGCTGATGGTAGGAAAAGAACTGTCACTGACACAGGAATCATATCCTGCCACTCTGAAGAATCATCTAAATTAGAGGATGTAATGGATACAAAGAAGAACAAGAACCAGAATGAGAGAAAAGTGGAGAAGCAGTTTTGTAGTAGGTCATCTGCTGTACCTTGTCCTGAAAGGTCTGGCCACAGGAGTTCACACTTAGAAAAGGTCACATTTCAGATTGGAAGTTCAGCATCACCAGAGTCAGACTTAGAAACTCATAGAAGAGAAATGGAAGAAAATCTGAAGGCATTAATTAAAAATGCAGAGGTGATACATTGTGCCTCAAGTTCCACAAATCTGACTGTGGATGCTTCTCAGAATCAAGGAGACAGTTGTGAATCTGCCTTTATACCCATCAGTAGACATAATGTTTGTCATGCACAAATCCCACCGTGTGAGGAGAAGGAAAGTATACTTAACCAACATATGGAAAGTAAAGGAACTGAAGTGAATTTAATTAACTCAATATCTAGTGAACTGCTTTTACCCACAGATAACATAGAAACTGTAAAATTGCCAAACATGAAAGAAAATAGAACTTTATGCTCTGGCAATTTGGAGAGCTATTCTTCTGACTGCGTAGAAGCAGATTCTGCTGTCAAACAGGATTCCTCTAAAGTAGGTGCTAAAGATGTCCCCTATGGGGATTCTGGAAGGAAAACCTCCTTCAGAGTTGAAGGGGACATTCCAAGGAATGAGAGTTCAGACAGTGCTCTTGGAGCTAGTGATGAAGAAGGTGATTGTTGTATCCCTGATGAAGTGCATCGTGATAATATCAGCAAACGGCTTGAAGAATTTGCAGAAGTGGAACTTCCTTTGCCAAGGTAAAGAAGTCTGATTAATTTAGAACTAAATGGAATCAAAAGCTGTAGCTACTTTGGAGTTGTTTAAAGTTTCAAGTCTGAAATCTGAGAACTTGACTAAGTTCCTTGCAAACTAATCAGTAGTAGACAGTGATGTAATTAGAATTCTTATAAGTAGATTTGGCATAAAGGAAACAGAGACAGAACAGGTTTAATAAAGTTTTGTTACAAAGGTATACTTCAAATGCCTAAAAATATGATCAAACTTTTTATGTAAACTGACTGAAACATTTAATATAGATATCACATCTGAGAACAAGCAAAACTTTGCTTAGAAAGATAACTGTTCAGATTTGACATTTTTATAAGTCAAATACAGATTTGGAATAAACATGGACATGCTATTTGAAAGTTTTTGAGCATTCCAGATGCACATGGAGTTTGATGGTGCTTAAGGTCAGTTTCTAAACTTACCTTAAGCATGAGAGTTGAAGAAAACTCAAATTTAGCAAAACTGTAAGCTGCAGAACATGGAGCTCATTTATCCCACAAACTCCAGTGCATATAAATTTGCTTATTTCCAAGTCTGAAGAAATCAATATGTTGTTAAATTTCAGCTTTTGAAATTCTTGTTTTAAAGGGCATCACTAGATGTTTACTGGTGTGAACATTTATGTGTACTTGTAGTACAACTGTTGATTAATATTTGCAGTAGAAGGAGACATGACTTTGCAGTAATGTAAAATCTAAATGCAGTTTGTCAAGCACGAGTCTTACCGGCTTTGTATTTCTGTATTTCAGGTCAAATACCATCAGCAGTCAATGTGTGAAAAACTTTGGAAGATCACTTCTGGGTGGTTACTGTCATACGTATATACCTGATCTAGTGCTGCATGGAATAAATAATGATGAAAAGCTCAAGCAGTGTCTGCTAGCAGATCTACTTCATGCAATGCATGTGAGTTAAAGTACTGAATCAGAGTAATTGTGATACTGAAATCTACAGAAGCAGGTTATTTTAGCAGATTGTTTTTTACTTACCTGTTCTGAACAGCCACACCTGCCATGTCTTCCTTTTTGAAAATGTAAACCCTTAATTTACTATATGCAACACCTGTTCATGCATTAATCATGTGCTTTCCTTTATTACTTTTAAGGCTTCTGTTCAAAGATTAACACAAGGAAGATTGTTTGCAACTTCAAGTTACAAACTTGAAGTTTGAGCTGCTTCTCTTTTCCATCACAATAGCAGACAAAATTACCTATATTTCAGAAAAATTATATGCAAGTTGAAACATCTTATTTTGCCACTTAGTGTAGCAGGTGAGGTAAAGTCATGTTGAGGCCTGTATGATGCTAGTCTGTAGCAGAAATGACTGACTACAGAAGGTAATTGTATATAGATAAGAACTTTGCTGTGTTCTTTCTCTACTGTAAGTACTCCTAAATTATAAAATTTATGACTAAGCTTTCACTGCAATAACTGTGTGCCCTCACAGTTTTTTGTCAGCAGCTTCTCTCTGTAGCAATTAAGAATCCTCCTGCTGACATGACTGCATGTACTGTCCAGAGCAGGGATGTGTATGTCTGTCTGTTCCTTAAGGAACATCAGAGTGGTCCGGTGTGAAAGTGTGGCTCTTCTTTGGTGGATGACAAAGTGGGCCATGAGCCTGAGCAGCTCTTGCTGCAAGGAGAGCCAGTGCTTTCCTGGGGTGCATAGCAAGAGCATTCCAGCGGGTCAAGGGAGGTGAACCTGCCCCTCTACTCAGCCTTAGTGAGGTTACATCTGGATTGCTGGGTCCACTCCTGGGTTCCACAGGTCAAGAAGGATGAGGAGCTACTGGAGAGAGTCCAGTGGAAAGCCCCAGAGAGCATTAGGGATCTGGAACATCTCTTTTCTCAGAGGATGCTCAACTGAGAGGGCATCTCATTCATGCATGTAAATATCCTAAAGGCAGGTGTCAAGAGAGTGGTGCTCAGCAACGGGACACAGTGCAATGGCCATAAACTCAAACACAAGAAGTTCCACCTCAGCTTCTGAGGAAGAAATTCTTTATTCTGAGGGTGGCAGAGCAGTGGAACCAGCTGCCCAGGAGTCTTCTGGGAAGTCTCCCTCTCTAGAGACATTCAAAACCCACCTGGAGTTGTTCCTGTGTCACCTGCTCTAGGGGACACTGCCTTGGCAAGGAGCTGGATTAGAGGATCTCCACAGGTCCCCTCCAACCCTAGCTGTTCTGTTATACCCTTCTTGATTGTGCATAATAAAATCCCTCACATATTTCTGAAATATTGAATGTACTTTCACCATCACTGGATCAGTGTAATTACTTTTTCATTTTGAAAGAAACTAATCTCTTCAGGGTAGGGGGAATACATGAAGAAAAATAAAATTGAGTAGTGACTTTCAGGCACTAATGAAAATTAGATGTTTCAATCAAATTGGCAGATGCAGTGCTGCTGAATGCTGAATGTAAATCTTGTTACTGAAGTTGGTATTCCTTGTCATTTTTTGATACCTTTGGTTCTGTAATGGACAAAACCATGCATTGGATCACTTTCTTATTTGCTACATCAGTGTGAATAAAAGTAGAACCTCAAACTGAACTGTGTAAATGTATATGAAAGTATCACATAATTGTATTTTGTTTCTGTTGCAGCATCCAGTGCTAGATGAGCCCATAGCGGAAGCTGTCTGCATTATTGCAGACACAGATAAATGGAATGTACAAGTAGCTACAAGCCAGAGGAAGATGATGGACAGTGTGAAGTTAGGCAAGGATGTTCTGGTTTCAAGTCAAGTATCCAGTCTGTTGCAGTCTATTTTACAGCTTTACAAACTGAACGTCCCAGCTGACTTTGTAAGTATTTCTTTATTGAAGGCTGAAGCTAATGGAAGTTGTTTAGCTCAGATAGCAACATGGAGTTCTGTACACTGTGTTGCAATATCAGTGAACTAATGCCTGATATAATGCAGAGCTGTTACAACATGTTGGAAAGAATCCATGCTACAGTCCAGTAATGGATACCAAATCCTGGTTCTGGCAAAAAACTTCCTGTTCTTGAGGTTTCTTTCCAACCCCATGTAGTAGATGTCTCTTCTTCAGTCCAGCTAACTGTGCCTGTTTGTTTACTTGACCCTTCTGCTTTATGCATATTTTAGCAAGTGCTGTCTTGGGTAGCTTTGCAGATGGCTCCATAGGATTGATAGGATGAGACACCTGGGAATGGGTGGGTTGCAGCAGAGAAAGGGAGTATGCAACATGACAAAGTAACAATCTCACAGCATCCTTTCCTGTCCTCCTTTGTAGTGGAGTTCATCAGAGCAAATCTGTAATGCTGGTTTTGGTGATTACAACAAAATGACCCGCAAGTCTGACTGCAATAACTGTAATTCAATTTTTAGCACATAATTATTAGTGAGGTGAGATGGAGTGTTTTTTCAGTAGTCACCCCTTTTCTAATAAACAGAATTGATTTGTCCTTCAGCAGATAGCCTTGAGAAATTCTGTAGGAATCCTGTGCAATAACAGTGCCAGCAGATGGAAGAGGAAGATAGAGCTAAACACTAATAGCTTTAAATAGTATTGGTTGGCACTGTTTTGAGTTAAATTGGTGGTATTGATTAAACTAAGTTCTTCAAGTCAAATGCTAGGCAAAATACGTGGGTACATTTTTGAGTGTTTTCTCTGGATTCTTCTGGGCATTGAAAAATATGCAACTGTGGTTGAAATTGTATCTTAACACTAGCACCGTCACACCTAAAATCCTGGCATTTTTAAACTGAGTAGTTGATTTTGCAACACAAGCGTTCTTTCTAGTGTTTTCTTAGGATTTGTGTATGCAGTTTCCATATGGCTTGTGTGGTTTGGGAGGTGTCTGGAGGCAGAATGATTTTCAGGTGTTTTTATTTCCTTTTTCTCACAAAAAGGAACTGTGAAGTGACAGTGCTAGTTGTTTGTAAATTTTTCATCATTTGTGTTAGAAATACTTGGATCCTTCTGTCAGGAGATTTTGGAACTTTGCTAAAACAACATCAGTGCATGGAAGCTAAGTGTTCCTAAACTCTAGGAGAAGTGTGACATTTTAGTAGTAGTATTTCTGTTGATTTAAATTTGGATAGAAACATATGTATTGATGTACTCATCAATCAGAGATGACCACAGTGCAGTATGTTTGAAGCTTCCTTTAGGAGTGTGTATCTCTTTACATGCAGTTACTGTTCTGATGAGTAGGTATTTTTGGGGTTTTGTGGTACCAACAGAAAACAACCCAATTTGAGACCAGATAAAGGGCAAGTGGTGATACTTTTGTTGTACCACTTCAGACTGATAACTGTGCTGCAGAGAGCTTTGCAGTATGCCCTGGTGAAAGTGCTGATTGCAACTGCTGCATTTCAGCAATATGTCAAAAGTTTTACCTTTAAGCTCAGTTTAAGTTGCTTCTCTATTTTTAGAAGTTACTTGACTTTTCTTCCATTTGGTCAATGAGAAACTGCAGAGGAAGCTAATATATTTATAAAAAAAAAAAAATACTTGTGGTCACTGAACCAGATGGGTTAATGTGCCGAGCTTGTGGGCAGAAATGTCTTTTGATTCTTTGCTGGTATGCAGAAGGAATAGATCATATGATGTAAACAACCTTCTTTTAAAATAATGTGGGATTCTTTCTTACTTGCTCTCTCATAACTTAAAAACAAAATAATCCAGAATCCTCAACATAAATACTGGAATTGAAACAGATTGAATTGCTACTTTGTGAATCAGCTGCATGGCCCCCTGAACCACTGAGAAAGTGCTCATAGGCTTATTGCATGAGGGTTGCCTGTCATGGAAAAGATAAGGGTGCTTGCTTTCCTTTTGGCCAGAATCAGAAGTGTTATGATGGTAATGACTTGAGTGAAAATTTGCTTGAAGCAAACCTATGAAAAAACCTTCTGCCTTTCCTCCACTGGTGGCAGTGATTTTACTCTACTACCATGTTGCATGTTTTTTAAAATGCCTCTATTTTCCATTATTAAGATTCAATATTAGCTCATTGAAAGAATAATTAAACATCTTGCTCCAGATGATCAGAAAAATACATATTAGGCTACCTACAAGCCTGACTATTTTTTTTCTCATTAGATTTTTAATTAACAAAGGTTGTCTCACCAGGTCTCACTTCTAATACTTAGGGTTTTCATTCAGCTCCAGCACATGGGATGATGGCCTGAAGCTATTTGCTGCTACTGTTTCTAATTGCTGTCTGATTATATGTTTGATAATGTGACGTTCTGTATGTGCTTCCTGCTTTCATCTCCTGATTTCAGAGAGCTGACCTAATTTAACTTTTTTGAAGTGGTCATCCCTATGAAAAGAAGGAATATATCAAATTGAATGTACCTTTGTCCTACAACAAAATACCTGATAAGACTTCCTACCTACTCAGCTTGTGAAGACATGCTGCCTGCTGACCTTGTCTTGCCAGAATAACCTCTCTCTCTCTCTCCTTGAAGCCAAGGTTCATCTGCTCTCTTGTAGCTGGTATATGAGAAATTGCCATGAATCACATGACTGTATTTAGAAATTATATGCATTTCTAGCATTCCACTGCTGGAAGAAAAGCGGAGTGATTAGACTGATGTTTGAACTTGAACTATTACCTTTGGCAATCAGCATCAAATGTTTAAGCAATTTTAAACTAGAAATACTTAGGAATTATGAAAATGAATGCCTAAAATGGATTTGTAACTTAGTTGCTACAGAAAAGCAGTCAGTAAAAGGGTTCTAATTCTGTGACCAAGAAGGTACCGGTGTCTTCCACGTCCTGAGTCTTAGTTTCTTGAATGGCACTAGGGCCTTAGAGCTAGAATTATCATTTTAGAAACTGTTGTCTAAACCAAGTATTTCAGAAAAATAGTACTGACTTATAACAAAGACATCTTCACCCAAGAATTTTGCCTTAATTTTTAGTAAGATATCTCGAGTGGTTTTGAACCTCATTAAAACTGTTGAAGTTGGCAGAAATGCAGTGATGTGAGTGGAAATGGAGGTGCAGTTTGTGCAACAAACTTGCTGCCCAGGAGAGTGGAATGCCCCAGTCCTATGAGGGGTTTCCTCCTTGTGGGGTGGTGTAACTTTTTAATGTTTATGGCAGAATTTTTAATAAATCCAGTTGCCTCATCTAGATTTTAGAGTGGAGGCTTAGTTTATCTTCTAAGATAGAAGGTAAAGTGATGTGCTTACATTTCTGTAATATTTGCATGCGATTGCAAAAGCTGTTCTGAGGTTTGTGGTCTGTGTTTACAGTGCATAATGCATCTTGAGGATAGACTGCAAGAGATGTATCTCAAAAGCAAAATGCTTTCAGAATATCTGCGAGGACATACAAGAGTGCATGTAAAAGAACTAGGAATTGTATTGGGGTGAGTATTGCAGGTTATCAGTCTTAAGCAATGGCAAAAGCTGGGGCAGTTATTTTTCCTTTTCATCTGAGTATTGACAGCTTGTTCTCATAAGCATTTGCTTCATATTTAACACTTCTCTTTCATGTGCCTAATAAGTTGCAAAAATGGGTTCTACTGAGCTATCTCAAAATGAGGAGACATACAGCAACAACAAAATATTTGTCACTTTTAAATCTTCAGAATTAAGAGAATTTTAAATTAAGAGAAGTTTGAATTTTGGTCATTAGGAAGTTATCTAAGTATTCATACACACTCCCTTCTGCTGTGATCTCCTTAATGAGAACTTCATCCTGAAAAGTACTTCCAAATTTTTGGAATGAAAAGGGTGCATTTGAATCTTAAGGAACAAGAGGGTCTCAAAAATCAGGTGTAGAAAAATGAACAGGTGTCCTGTTTAGCAGCTGTCTTCTAATAAGAGTATTTGATTGGCATATAACCTTTAGGGATCTGCCTGCTGACAGCAGAAAAAGGGAAAGAAGTAAATACACTTTCTCAAGATGTTTTTTAGCACTGTAGAATAAATTTAATTTATCTTTTTCTAGACTGTTCAAGATCTCATGCTCAGAAATATAGCTGTAAATAGTGAAACAGTGAAATAAGCACTTTGTGTGTGTGTCCATGTTAAATATATATAAGTATGTACACACATCCTGGCCTCTGAGCAGCTTCGCCTTTGGAAATAATGGGAAACTGACCATTGCACTTGCGAGATGTTCCTTGAACTGTTATTGCATAATAATTAATAATTTCAGCTTTTGGTCATTTTTTTTTTGTAAGAAAGTGCTACTATGTAGTGAGCTGAGTTATATTAAAAACCTGAAATGCATAATCTTCCATAAGCTGATACCAAGTACTTTGTTAAACTGGGCTTATTGGTGTCTGCTCACCGGTAACACTACAAGCTGAGGCTTAGGGTTTAGCAAATACGTAAAAGATCTTTTATTTAAACTACAAAAGATTATATAGCACAGAATGTAATACTGCTTGCTGTCTTTTGATTTAAGTGCTAACATGCTTCCTGGTTTTAAGCATTATTTACCTACCTTTACTGGTAGTACATGATTATTGACAGTAAATGATAATTAAAAATGAACTTAGTAATAGCAAGACCCTTCCAGTTTCTTTCAAGTGGATGAAAAGTATCATCTTGTATTTCTCTTGTGAAAGTGACTGTATATTATTTTAAAGGCTCTCTCTTTTTTTTTAATTTCTAGGATTGAATCCAATGACTTGCCTTTGTTGGCTGCTATAGCAAGTACTCATTCCCCATATGTTGCTCAAATACTCTTATAAATTAAATTCTCAGGATAGTCATTCCCTTAAAGTACAGTTACGAAAATGGGAATGTTGAATGAAGAACAGAGGTGCCAAACACTGGTAAAGGGGAGCACTGATGAAAGCAGGTGATGACTGTACATTCTGCCACCTTCCGATTCTGATTTCAACCGGATGTTTTATCGGAGGACTTCAGTTTACATAACACAAAAGGCATTCAGGTTTTTCTTACAATCTCACTTCTGACTTAAATCAAGAGACTGCATCCTTGCATTTTATTTTTATTCAAAGGACAAATGTTAACACTATATGGCAGACTGGGTGCTGCCACCCAAAACGCTGCTCAGAACCATGAAGTACCAGTTAAAAGAACAAGCGGGTTAGAATGGATTTCGTAATACTATGCTTGTGAGTGTGGTGTGGTGTATGTTTCTTTGCTGGGGAGGAGGAGGAGTAGCTGTTAACTCTGTATATAGCGTTCCTATACAAAAGTGTATTTGGTGGGACGTGATTTTCTTGCAGAACATTCGTGTGGTTTTGTATAGTAGAAGTGATGGGCTCAGAACAAGGAACTTGGATTCAGCAGCCAGATGTCATGTGGGAATGGAGGTGTATGTGAGGTGGATGTGACTTTTCCCTTTAAGGACAAAAGGTTGAGAGCTGTGGCTGCTTCTGTTTTAATGAGAGGCATTCAAATGGGCCCATGGCTACAAGTGGAATGGAATGGACTTCTGGGAGAGGGATTTTGTGGGAAAGCCTTATGGAACTTCTGCTACAAGTTTACATTTGTTGCTGATGCAACTACAGTAACTGTTGATTTGCTGTATGACTGTGGTCCTGGGAACTAAACTTGTCTTGGTGTCATCAAATATTGCTATCTCCAAGGAGCATGAATTTGAAAATCTTCTGAACGATGCCAGTGCTGTGAGCATGTGTCCATGTGCACATACACCAAACAATTGGCACAAACTGAAGACAATCGTATTGGGGAAACACAAGACATCAAACAACCCCCACCAAACCTTTAGTCAAAAGTATTACTTTTTTCCAGCTATGAGTTGTCACTCTGAGTAGAAATAAAAGAGGAATATTGTTTGAAGTAAAATGACATGTGGGGGCAAACCCCAATATTTGATATTACTCTGAATGTTTGCAATTACCCTTTTTGATTCTACAGAAATCTTGAACTATCATCCAGGTGCCTTTCCTTACTAGGTTAACTACTCTGATACCAGAAACTACTTCTCCACTAGTTGATACTGGCCTTTGGTGTTTCTAGAAAGCAAAATAAAATTTTGTACTTCACTGTTTTCACGTGGTTGATTAAAATGAATGTAAAAAATACTTATTTTGCATAAAGCACTGTTAAGCTGGATATGAAACAATGGACCAGACTGAGGAGAGAACAAAGGATCAAAACATTCTTAAATGGAAAACTCAATGTTGGACCATTCCGTTGTGAGCCACTGTGAATACAGTGTCTGAAATTGTCATCTTGCAAGCAAATTTCTGGCAACACAATTGCTTGAAAATAGTGAATTCTAATAAGAAACTCCGGGTCACCAGTCATGAGTTCTCCTTGTTGGTGGTTACAGATTTTTAACACTGAAGGGACACACTTTTATTAAAAGTGTTTTTATTTCGTACTATCTTGATGTTTGGACTTTTCTACAGTAAACTTTCAATTATTTGAAATAATGAAATGTGCTTATTGTGAATTGTTTAAATGTGATGGGGTCTTGATTAACCTTGTGTTGCTTTTTGAGGGAAATAGGTAGACTGGCCTACTGTGAAAAGAGGTTGTTTCCACGTGGAGGGATACTTAATATTCTGATACAACACTTCTAAAGCTGTTCCTTCTATGCTGGTTTTCTGACCTGACATTCCAAATATTTCTTTTATTGCATTTTCATATTTCTCCTTAGTATTCTGTCTAAAAAGGCTAAAATGTTTCAATGGTTCAGGGTTTTTTCTCCTGCTTTATAGCTAAGCAAACTTTTCATATCTTTGGTCTGTGAATTCTGTCTGCTGGAAAGTAAATTTACCTCTGCATATGGCTTTTAGCAGATACCACTTTCTGTTTCACAAGGTTAAAACAAGGAATGAACCATAGAGCAAGTCACATATTCCTAAACTACCCTCTTGATGGAGAATGTGTGTGTGCATGTGTAAGACTATGAAACTGCTTCTCTGAGTGTATATAGAAATCCTCATGTACTTTCTCTATTTCATGTCACTCTTAAATAGTAGCTGACGTCATTAAAAGTCAGTCCATCTCTTTTAAAGTGAGATTTTTATCTGAGCAGACTCTTGACAGTTCTTCAAAGAAATATATGCTAACTTAAAGATGTGCTTTTGTTGTCACAGGGTTTACTAAAGAGGACAGAGATCTGCAGACATTCACTGATTTCAAGATTAATACCATAATCAATAATAGACATGATTTTACCACATCAACTGTTTAAAAAAAAAGAAAATCTGCCTTTGGGCAAGATATCAGTTAACTTTGTGGTGGCATGTGAGCCGATGGTCAAAAGCACTTGAATTTTCTTCAGCCCAGGCTAAAACTTTATAGTTCTTGCTGCTTTCTCTAACATTTTGCTGCTCTTCAGAAATTACACATTGAACTATTTTATTCTCATAGTTTTAGTTTTGGGGGAAAGAAAATTCAAAATGAAAGCTCTTTATTACCTTTAAAAGGCTTTAGACTAATGAAAGCTAATTACATATATCCCCTCCACCAAATGTACTACCTCAGTTGACAGGATTCCACTTTCTAGGGCTTTTTTTTGACTCGAAGTCTTTAACTTGTTTTTGGTAGCATCTTGATGTTTATGTAAATTGGTGTGGCATGACAGGGCAGTAAGTATTTACAGATGTGTTTTTTAGACATTTTTAAGGCATGTTTCTGGTTTTATTTTAATAGGATGAAAAGTGATATGAATGTACAGCTGTGTTGAAAATGGATAATGTAGCTTAATTTTCAAATATTCCAAAGTTGTTTTTATCAGTATTATGTAGGTTTTTTGTAAACTTAAATACATATTTTCTTGGTTAGGTGGGAGTGCACAGTCTTTCCAAAATCCCACATAAATGCAGTTTACACACTGAAATTCAAAGAATGTATGCTGTTTTCAGGCAAGACTAAACATAGGGGAGGAATTAACTGCTAAATTGTAGAATTTAATTGAAATGAATTCTTTAACCCCAAACAATACCAAGATTGGAACATTTTAATTTAAGTGAGGTACACTCTGAACTAGCTATACAACTTTCTTTTGTTCCCAGAAAATCTAATAGGCACTGATTCTGTAATTCACATTTCTGATGGCATCTTCCAGAATTTTAGATTGATTTTCCCCACTCCATATTATAAGCATCTTTACTCTTAAAGTCAAAGCCTCTTTTCAGATGCATCAAATTCTTGTATAGAAGGTTTATGCAAAATGGTCACTTACCCTTCAAGGATAACTTCTACTTCAATTAAAAGGACCCAAATAAAAATCAAGTCCGAAATACTGAATTTAGTCTAGACAATTTCCTTCTTTTTTTTTTTTTTTCTTTTTTAAAAATTTTTTGGTGGGGGGGAGGGGGTGGGAGCTTTGAGGTCAAATGAGGTAATTTGACATACATGGCAAGTTTTCCATAGTAGAAAAATGTGTGTTGCTATTGCATGTTTGGAGAACATAGGCTTTTTTAGGAATGACTGAACACCAATGTCAAACTACGTGTTTTTTTTCTTATAGTTGTTTATGTACACTATCATTTTGGTCAATTTCTTTGCGGCATTTGGTGCAATAAACTTTCTGAAATCAACGTAAGTGGTATTTGGTATCTTCCTTTTTAAAGCTTCTGAAATAGCTGCTGTTGTAGCTGAGGTCTAACAGCACATGGTCTATCAGACGACCCATCAGCAAAGTAAGTAACTGTTACAAGAAGTGTCTAACAGGAAGGCTACACAAAATTTGGAACTTGGTTGGTTATCCTTGGAAGTTTTACCCCACTTACATGTAAACATGTAAGTGCTCTTACAGTGTGAAAAATATGGGCAAAAAATAGTGGAAATGAAGACAGTGACTGTTGGAGTAGGTGGTGCAGAGGTTCCATACACCTCTGTGGCTGGTATTTAGTTCTTTCCATAAGCATTTGAGCTAGCTGAAAAATGTGTTGCTATTAGATAATAAATCCAGTTTCTAAAATTGCCTACTGAGCAAGAGTGAGTGACCCCTCGTGTCTACTAGAGTATGAAATGGTTAGTGCATTTGGTCTGATTTAGTTTCAAATAAAGAGGTTTTTGATTTCTCTCAGATCTTCCATGACCTGACTTTCTATTTAGTATTCTGAATCTTATTGGAAAATCCTTATTTAGAAATAAAACCAGAAAGGAGATGAGATGATCAACTGTATTTGTGCTTCTTTGAGCAAGTCTGAGTTAGTCTGATTTGTAGTATCTAAGCATTTTTTTACTTACAGACTGAAATGTTTGCTTGTTGGTCAGGCTAACAAGGACTGAGGGAAGGAAAAAGCCCAGGAACTTTGGCATCAAGGACTTGATAGTGAGGAGAAAACCCAGTCACCTGACTGCTCCAGTCCCTGATCTTTTTGACACTTGTGAACCATTGGACTATCTTAGTGATTTGTGCAGTTCACCAACCTGTTTTTCCATCCAGGCCTTGTAAGACTCCATGAAACTCCTCTGCTCTGATTTCACTACTTTAAAAAAATTGTAGTTAAGCTGTTGCTCATACCAGCTGGTTGAATTTCTTTTTAAAGGGCACTTACCCAGTCTCTCAGAATCCAAGTGTTCAGGATCGTGGCAGATTAAGAAGAGAGAGGTGCAGAGGCTGGCACACACTGAATAGCCAAGCACTGGGAAGGGGTGGAGACCTGCATTAATGAATACTTACAAGGTATGGCTGAGAGGGTGGCAGGAGAGCTCTTAGAACTGAGAGCTGCAAAGAGGAAAATAATACCTAGATTTGAAAAATCCTCAAACTCTGAAGTCAGATTCTGTGATTTGTTCAGAAGACGTGACTAGAAATAATATGAATGTTTATAGTGAACAAGCAACTGAACTGTTTTCCTGCTTATGTAAGTAGCAAGAACGATCACAGATCTGATGGAGGAGTTCTCCTCATATGTAAAAATGGTTTCAAGGCTACAGCAGTAAACATGAGCTATATTCCAAAGTAACTAAGTCTTGTGCCAAAATTCTGCCAGTCTTTCTCCCTACTTTTCTCTCTATTGGAAAAAGTTATATAGCAAAGCTTTCTGCTGATCATCTGAGCACTGTATCCTTTTTTCTGTACTTACAGCTTTGAAGAGGTCAACCAGTACTGAACATACAAAACAGGATTTTGGATATAAAGGACACGAAGCCAAGTGACAAACCATGAGACTGTGACCTGTGTAAGGCTTCTGATCCCATATAAAATTAGCTTAAGTGGACACATGCTAGTAATCCACATGCTGGAAAATTACTCTTATAATAGTCACAGTCAGTTGTCTGTCTGGCACAATCCCAAAGCTAAAGCAGTTTAAGCAGTATGAGTAGCACTTTGTCTTGAAATCCTAAGGTCAACACATGGCTGAAAGGCTTAGGAGTAACAGTCAAGTACTCAAATATAATCTCATAAACTGGATTTTTTTTTTTCCATTTGGAGCTACAAAAGATTCCACTGTGATCTGACAAAATGATGTATGAGAGAGAACAGACTTCCGTGAGGAATGAGTTTCTCACCAAGGAATAAATTCCCCTCTCCTGTGAACAGAGAAATGGTCATGGGTGTGGAAATACAGAGTCATGCTTAGGTCTGCTTGAGATCTTACCAGGGGTGGGTTTGTTCTGATAAGAGCGAGTGCCATAGTGTCAAGGGCTGGGGTATTTTGGCTCACAAAAATTTTTTGCCTTGTGTTGGATTGAATTCCAACCCTGCATATAACAAAATTGTTTCAAATATGTCTGTAATGTTACTATTTTAGCTCTCTTTTGCTACCTCATCTCTTTTTCCCTAGGCAAAATGAGCCTGAGTAGTTTTCTTTTCTGTGTGTCATGTAGATGTTAGAATTTTTCATTTTCTACATCACTTTTTGGGTGGGTTTTTTTTTGTTTGTTTTTTTTTTAAGATCTGCACAAGTCCTGTTAACCTCAAAATGGACAAATCTAAAACTGTTCACTTTAGCTTTGAAAAATATAGGGGAATGTATTTTGTTGAACTAGTTCTGTCATTCTGTACAACACACAACTTTTTTCACCTTGCTTTCAGATCAGTTGTGTTTCAATGTGAAATTAAAAATCACATTTCCAAACCATTCCATCAGCTCCTCCTGCTCTCTTTAAGGGACTGACTCATGTAAGGATGCCGCAGTCATAGTGCAAGTGCTTTAATTCTGTAAAGGTTTGTTTCTAATAGAGAAATTATACCTTAACTTTTGATTTGGGGAACAGAGGTTCCTGGGCTGCCTGTACCATTGCAGCCTGTTCCCATGTGGGTGAGAAGAGCCTAGTTCTGCATTGTGGTCTTGTTGGTCAGGAATGTTGGGAGTAGGCTGCCTGATGGGGGGATAAAACAAAAATGGAATTAGGTCTGAGAGAAAGCTAACTTTTTTCCTTTGCCCTTTTGTTACTGCAATTACGCTTCCGGCAGTCTCCTGTCACAGTCTGATGTCCCTAATGTGGAAAGGGTCACTGAACCCTGAGGCTTGTTGAGCAGGGTTCTCTGGATGCTGACCTGCTGCCATTGCCAAAGCCATGGACTGAGCTGTGCCAGTACAGCTGGGACAACCACCGGTGTTCCAGGTGAGTTTGTCAGGCCTCTGGTATTTAAACCATTTGTGTTACACCGAGTCACGGCTGCACCCTAAAGATAGACAGCTGCCTCTGGTTTGCTGTGTGCCATTTTCTTCCCACAAGAATGCAGTAGTCTCTCCTGTTGCTCAGGAGTGGGTAAACACCACGAGTAAGAGATGCAAAGCCCATTTGTAATGTTGCTAAATAAATTCTGAGTCTCTCAGGTAATTTGTTGGCTGCTGGGAGTGGCTGCAGGAGTAGCAGAGCATTATTAAATGTTTGAATTAAATAAGCTCTGGTGGCTTTCCAAGTGCAAGTGCTGATGCTCTTGATATAAAGGCAAGCCGGTAATTAGAGAATGCTGTTCTTGTCTTCACAAGGCTTCCTGTCTTGAGCCTTGTGATGTTTGGACTGTATTGCTGCAAAGGACCTACATAATATAACCACCTCATCCCTGGATCATACTAAACTTTACAGGGGAGCTGGCTTTCCTCCACCCTGCCTTGCTTCACTTCAAATTAGTATTCTCTCTTTTCTTCTAAATATATAAAGCTTTTTTGGCATGTCTATTTTTGTGGCCAGCAACTGCTCTGCCAGCCCTAAAAAAAAAACTGGTATGGACTTTGAGATTTGTGCTGAGATTTTAGATCTTGGTTTAGTTGGAGAGCTAAGATCTGAATGGTCCCACCCAGGAGGCAAAGCTCTTGAAGGAGAGCTCCATGGGAATTGCTGTCCCACTGAATCCAAGTAGCAATCTGCACCTGCAGTTCGTCTCACTGCGTGTTGCTGAGTGTTGCTAAGTGCCATTCTTTTCTTAACAATTGGGGACTGTGCTAAAAAGAACAAAGATGTTAATGGTCTGGGGTGAAGTCACTGCAGCACCAGCTTGCCCTTTGCTGTGTGACAATTCCAATAGTTTGATGGTGATTGGCTGCCAAAGTGCACACTGCTGCCCTTCTTTGAGCTGTGATGCAGAGCTGGGTTGCATTGTAGCTGAGGTTGAAGTATGACTGTGAACTTTACAGCCTGCTGGACTTGCTCAAATTAAATGCAGTTTTATGTAGTCTGTGATGATGTATAGCACAGAGCATCCTGGTAGCACAGCTTAGTGTAGCACAGTGCTTTGCAGTAGCAGTGAGATCATCTCTGGATGTGCTAAACCTGTTTCTACTCATTCTGTAACATCTTTATCTCAGTACCGTGCTGGGTTAACCACACTGATTAACCATTCCTAATTCTTGACTAAGCTTGACTGGTGGCAGGTTGGGAATTTTCACCCTCTGTCTGTGGCTCATCATTAAATCAGCTCCTGCTTGTTTTCTCAGCATTCTGGTAATTACCACTGTTCATTACAGAAGGATGGGGCAATTGGCCAAAGGTACGCAGGGATACTGTGTCAAAGGTTAGCATCTGATCTTCTGAGTCCTCAGATAATGACTTCATCATCAAACAGTCCTACTGGCCAGGCTGGGCTGGGGGCATCATACACCTCCCTTTTCCCTTCCTGGCAATTGCTTTAAAGAGTCAGAGACACCCTGTCTGGCATTTAGTCATGTCTTTTGTCAAATTTAAAAAGAGAATATGTGTGCCTGTTCTTATACATTGAGTACAATTACAATTCTGCCTGTAAGGTCTAGCTAAAGTATCTGCCACGTGGATGCTGCCAAGCAAATGTATTTTGCTTTTCTGAACACCTGCTTCTTTGCTGTTATGCATCTTTATTTTTGCTTTAGATGCATGACTTATGTGGGAAAAAGTAACTCATGACAAGCAGCTGAGCAACACTTAAGGAGACATAGCAGGAGTCAGTAATCACCCAAGGGAAGTGCTAGTTTTCAGAAAAATAAAAGCAGAAGTGAAAGATCAAAGTATCTGAGTGAATTCCTTGTTTGAGGCAGTGGGAAGGTGTTACAGGCAAGCCTGTGGCTCATACAAGATGTTAACTTACTGCTTCACAGAAACAGCCACTTTTTACACATTGGCATGAAGGTATCTGTGATGATGCTGTGCTGTGGCAATGCAGCAT